CTGAGCAGCTTGGGCAGGCGAGGAGGTTTAAGTAAATTGAAGATTTGGCCTCCAACTGGCAAGGAAAGGTGGTGCGAAATGTCCATTTGCCTTTGCAGCGAAGATGTGCAGCTGCAGCAGGCGAGGTTTAAGTAAATTGAAGATTTGGGCCTCCAGTTGCTTGTTTGGGCAAGCAGGCCAGGAGGTTTAAGTAAATTGAAGATTTGGACCTTAAGATTTGGGCTTCCAGTTGCCTTTTTGGGTGAGGCGAGGAGGCTTACGTAAGTTGAAGATTGGGGCCTCCCAGCTGCCTTTCTGTGAGATGGTGTCTTGCCTTGGGCAGGCAAGAAGGTTTAAGTAAATTGAAGGTTGGGGCTTCCCAGCTGCCTTTCTGGGAGATGGTGTCTCGCCTTGGTCAGGCAAGAAGGTTTAAGTAAATTGAAGGTTGGGGCCTCCCAACTGCCTTTCTCTGAGATGTGTGTGTGTGTGTGTGTGCGGTGCAGCAATTGCCAAAAAGACAGCCAGGGGCCTCTATGTCTCCTGCTGTCCCTGTCCCTGCCAATCTGCCTCTGCCCCTGCCCCTCCTCCCTGCCCTGTTTTGGACCCCTCCCTGCCCCCCTGCCTGCCTCTCTCTGCCCCTGGCCCCTGCCTGCCCCCTGCCCCCTGCCCCTGCCCCTCCTTCCCTGCCTGCCCTGTCCCTGTCCCTGCCCCTGAGCCCTGCCCCCTGCCCCTGCCCCTGCCCCTGCCCCCTGCCCCTGCCCCTGCCTGTCATGAGCTACGTGGAAGTGTGTGTGTGTGTGTGTGTGTGTGTGTGTGTGTGTGTGCATGTGCATGTGCAATTGGAAGCAGTGTCTGTGCCAGCGAATGCTTTCAATGCCTTGAACCAGCCTTGGGTGCACTGTGCTGACGACGGATTGGCAGCAAGTGCGACAGCAACGACGACGACGAGATGATTGGTGTGCTCGTGTTTGCATGTGCATGAGTAGACATATAAAGAAGACGAGTGGTAATGCTTGTGCGAGAGTTTTCGGGTTTAGGGCCTAAGCCCGACAACCAGACTGTGTGTGTGTGTGTGTGTGGAGCCAGGTTTAAAGGGCCTGAAAACCTAGAAAACTCATGGTTTTGTAGGATTTCAGTTCTAGGCTTTTCAGCTTGCCTGTGGAATGCAGCCTGGCTAGTGCCAGGTTTAAAGGGCCTGAAAGCCTAGAAAACTCATGGTTTTTGTAGGATTCCAGTTCTAGGCTCTGGAGCTTGCCTGTGGGAGCAGCCTGGCTGGAGCCAGGGTTAAAGGGCTTGAAAGCCTAGAAAACACATGGTTTTGGTAAGATTCCAGTTCTAGGCTTTGAAGCTTGCCTGTGGAATGCAACCTGGCTAGTGCCAGGTTTAAAGGGCCTGAAAGCCTAGAAAATTCATGGTTTTTGTAGGATTCCAGTTCTAGGCTCTGGAGCTTGCCTGTGGAGAGCAGCCTGGCTGGAGCCAGGTTTAAAGGGCTTGAAAGCCTAGAAAACTCATGGTTTTTGTAAGATTCCAGTTCTAGGCTTTGAAGCTTGCCTGTGGAATGCAGCCTGGCTAGTGCCAGGTTTAAATGGCCTGAAAGCCTAGAAAACTCATGGTTTTTGTAGGATTCCAGTTCTAGGCTCTGGAGCTTGCCTGTGGAGAGCAGCCTGGCTGGAGCCAGGTTTAAAGGGCTTGAAAGCCTAGAAAACTCATGGTTTTTGTAGGATTCCAGTTCTAGGCTCTGGAGCTTGCCTGTGGAGAGCAGCCTGGCTGGTGACAGGTTTAAAGGGCCTGAAAGCCTAGAAAACTCATGGTTTTTGTAGGATTCCAGTTCTAGGCTTTGAAGCTTGCTTGTGGAATGCAGCCTGGCTAGTGCCAGGTTTAAAGGGCTTGAAAGCCTAGAAAACTCATGGTTTTTGTAGGATTGCAGTTCTAGGCTTTGAAGCTTGCCTGTGGAATGCAGCCTGGCTTGTTTGAGAAAACCCAGGGCTTGTGCAGGGCTTCTGTGGAGTGCAGCCTGGTTTGTGCAAGGTTCGAAGGGCTTAGTGTGTGTTGGCATGCATCGAGCTGTGTTGGAGTGTAAAGGCGAAAAACGTGCGACTTTGATCATGTGTGCTATGCGACTGGGTGCGACTTTGAAGCAGTTTGTGTGCGATGCGATTTGGTGTGATTGAGGGCAGCTTGTGCGAAGCTTTAAGCTAGTCCACCCATGCCTTGTTCCCAAGAGCTCACAATCGGGCTAGTGCGGAAATGGAGTGGGTGGGTGCCTGTGTTCAAGGCGATGTGGTGCGACTGTAAAGCAGCTTGTCGTGTGCAGTCTGATTTGGTGTGTTGGTGTAACCTTGCAGCAGCTTGTGTGCAGTGCGACTTCATGCCTGAGGGGTTTGCTTTGGGGTGCCTTGAGCTTTGTTCTTCAAGGTGCAGTGGCGGAAAATGAGTGACTTGGAATCAGCTTGGTGCATGTGTGTGTGCAGCTCTGCGATATGAGGGGCACTGTGCGAAGATTGCGACTTGCTTGATGTCGACTTGACTAATTGCGACTTGATTCCATCATGGATCAAGTAATGTGTGAAGATTGCAACATGATCGAAGCAGCAGCTTGTGAGAGGTGCTTGTGTGCAAGGCTTGATGATATGAGTGGATTTGGCTGCGGCACTTGAGAGAAGCTTGGCTGCATAGTCGGTTGATCCCCTTCAAAGTTGCAGGCTTGGAAATCCTGTGTGAAGCTCGTGTGTGTGTTTGTGTGATTGGCCATGCTTGACTCGCAAAGTTCGCCTGCAGCTGCTTTTGCTTTCGAGAAGCTCAACTCTTCCTGTTCCTTCGATTCTTGCAGTTATGTCTGCAAGACACCACCGCCCAGGGCCTTATCATGTCGGCCCAGGCAGCGAAGGTGTGAGAGAAAGGAGGCTCTTTGCACCGGCTCTGCCTGAGTCAATTGACCCGTTGCCTGACCATCACCACTCCAACCTGGCTTTGGTGAATGCAGGGAGTGCGACACCGCTTGGCAGGCAGTGGGACATCGACTATGTGCGCTTGGAGCTTACCCCCTCAGCCCTGGGCCACTTTTCTCAATACTGGGTGCTGGGTGGACAGGCCTCTAGGCACCCAAGATCAGACTTCCCCGATGGCCTGGAGCTCTGTTCGGGCAAGCCTTTTTACCTCCGGCTGCAAAGTGCTGACCAACCCTTAGGGGAGGTTTCCAGAGCCTTGGCCCTCGCTTTGATGGCAAGCTCTGGAGGCCACCCCGTCCTCGTTCCTCCTCATGGACAGGAAGGGTTGTGCCTTGGGAAAAAGGAGAGGCTGTGTGCTGCTGCAACTCTGGCGGCAGCACTGCAGCGGCTGCCTGGTGCAGCAGAGTGGGGCTCCCACTATAAACTGTTCCTCTGCAATTATGGTGGAAAACTCCCGGCCAGGGAGTTCTGGACCAACTCCTTGGAGCCCACCTATAATGCCATTGTGCAAGATGTCGGCCAAGCAAAAGCTGACGACATGTGGGACTCCATGGTTTTGGATTGGGGAACCCAGAGCAAACTACAGGACGGTTCATCTTTCCTTGTTGTGTGTATGGTAAGTAATCCTTGGGTAGGTTTGTGCAATGCCTCCAAAAGCTTTCAGCCTCTAAGCTGCACAGAACCTTTCTCATATCAGTTCGAACCTTGCAGGCCAATGGTGTCGCTGTGGTGGCTCCGGTCGAAGATTTCCCGGATACACAACATTGGTGCTTCTGGAACAACAGATCAGGATACTCCATGTTCGGTCGCCTGTGCCCCGGCTATGGTGGAGTGAAACTGCCGTTCCACACCAACAGCGAGCTGCCCTTCCAGTATGTTAAAGTGTATCCCGGCACTTGGGTGCATATGTTGAAAGCTGTTGGCTTTCCATCCAATCTGGTGCCAGCACAATCCAAGGAGAAGTTTTTTGTAACCTCGCAGGAGAAGCTTAATGAGCTCCTTGTGGTGATGGCCAACAGCGAAGACTTGCCGGAGATGAGTGGCTGCAGAATCTTAGCTGTCGGGTTCATAAGCCAAGAAATTTTAACTTTCAGTTTTAAGAGGGTTACATTATCCCAAAAAGTTACAGTTTATAAACTCAGCTACTAAGGAATTGAGTGCAGGATCAAGGGTGGAGCCCACACATATGCAGGCCAACTGCTATGTGTAGGCTCCTTCTTGACTGCACTCCTGCCCAATCTAAAATGCAAGTTGCTGCCAATCCCGGCCATTCTGACCCAGGCCCAGCAGGCACTCAGCGATGCCACAGAAGCTGGCCTGTTCAGGTTGGATGGCCGGGCATTGGCAGACCCAGCACCCAGCTGGAAAACTCTTGCATATGCAAGAGTCTTGCATTGTTTGGGCATCTGCCACTTTTTAACACACAGGGCTGCCCTGGAAGCCGCTGTGTCTGGCAAGGCTTTTGCTCCAGCACCGGAGCCTGAGGAGCACGTGGATTTGTGGAGCTTCAATCCCGCTTTGCCGCCCAACCTGCCAAAGATCGCCATCACCAACGACATGACAGCGGATGCTGTCAAGAACTTGGGCAAAACCAGCACCCGGCAAATCGATTGGGCAGCGGTGGCTCTTGCACTCGGACATCCTGATAAAGCAGAATACCTGGCGGATGTGTGCAAAAACACTATGTGGCGAAAAAAGCCAGGCAGGAAAGCCACTCGAGTAATCGAATTTACTGCAACTGGCCGGGGCTCGGGTGGCAAGCCAATCGAAGCATTGGGCAGCCACCTGATCCTAGCCACTGTGAACCTTGTAGCTCTTAAGAAAGAGCAGCAAGTGAACAGATGGTGAGAAAAGCTAGAGCAGTCGAAACCTTTGAAGCCTTGGGCCTTAACAAAAGCCTGAAGTTGAGACAAGCTATGTCTGTGCTGTGGGATGCCTGTCAGCCTAGGCTCTGCTTGGGCTGTGGCCCTCGGTGCTTGGCTGCATAGTTGTGCAGAGCTAGATAGAGCTTCGGGGTGCAAAGAAGCTATGTGCTGTGGTTGAGCTGATGTGTGTGTGTGCTGTGGCAACATGTCAAAGGTGCAGCCTGTGTGCTTGCAGCAAAGCCTCGTGTGCACGTGTGTTTTGAGTTGAGCGGTAGCCCATGCTGGTGCCCAGTGGTGCCTGTGTAACCTTGGATACCATGTGCCAGCTTGGACTCTGTGCCTTGTGTTGCCCTCCACCCTGCCCCTTGCCCCGCCCTGCCCTGCCTGCCCACCCACCCTGCCCCTGCCCCTCCCCTGCCCACCTGCCCTGCCCTGCCCACCTGCCCTGCCCTGCCTTTGCCTTTGCCTCTTGCCCATTGCTTTGAATGCTTGAGCTAGGTGTGCTTGCTTGTGTGTGTGTGTGCATGTGCATGTGCGACTTCTTGAGCTTTGTTCTTCCAGGTGCAGTGGCGGAAAATGTGTGACCTTGATCTGGGTGCGACTTGAAGCACTTTGTGTGCGATGCGATTTGGTGTGATTGAAGGCAGCTTGTGCGAAGCTTTAAGCTAGTCCACCCATGCCTTGTTCCCAAGGTGGGGGGTGTCGAGGGCTAGTGCGGAAATGGAGTGGGTGGGTGCCTGTGTTCAAGGCGATGGTGTGCGACTGTAAAGCAGCCTGTCGTCTGCAGTCTGACTTGGTGTGTTGGTGTAAGCTTGCAGCAGCTTGTGTGCAGTGCGACTTGATGCCTGAGGGGTTTGCTTTGGAGTGCCTTGAGCTTTGTTCTTCAAGGTGCAGTGGCTGAAAATGAGTGGCTTGGAATCAGCTTGGTGTATGTGTGTGTGTGCAGCTCTGCGATATGAGGTGCAATGTGCGAAGATTGCGACTTGATTGATTGCGTTTTGATTCAGTCCCGGATCAAGTAATGTGTGAAGATTGCAACTGTGATTTGAAAGTGTAAGTGTAAAGAAGACGAGTGGTAATGCCTGTGCGACAGTTTTCGGGTTTAGGGCCGAGACCCGCAAACCAAGGAAAAAGCTTGTGTGCAGTGTGGGGCACGTGTGCGGACTGGATGGATCCGTGGGACTTTGAATCAGCTTGTCTGCACTGTGACTTGGTCGATCTTGAAGTTTGTGTGTGTGTGACTTAGTGCGATCTTGAAGCTTGGGAGCAATGTGACTTTGGAAGAGCTTCGTGTGCAGTGCGAACGGTTGTGATCTGAAGCTTGTGTGTAGTGCGAGTTTGAAGTAGCTTGGTGTGCAGTGCGAATGGGTGTGATCTGAAGCTTGTGTGCAGTGCGAGTTTGAAGTAGCTTCGTGTGTAGTGAAGTGCGAATTGGTGCGATCTTGAAGCTTGTGTGCAGTGTGACTTGGTGCTACTTTAGACCAGTTTGTGTGCAATACGATTTGAGTGTGTGTGTGTGTGTGTGTGTGTGTGTGTGCAGTGGGACGTGTTTGAGTGATATAGCTTGTGTGTATCTCAAAGCACTCAGCTCCGGAGCCAGGATGGCAAAAGGGCTGTGGGCAAGCCCCAAGATGGAGCTCCCAAAAGAGAGCTGTGAGAAGAACTCAATGATTTTTGAAAGGGTTCCAAGCTGCAGGATTTAGTGCCGATTGTCTGCTTCTTCAAGTGGCACACTGTAAAATACACAAATTCATATTCGCGTTTTCGTGACGACAGCCAATTGCAAAATATCCAGTCTTGAATGGGGAAGGCTGAGGAGTGTCCCGGAAAGGACGATGGACAGAGTTTTAGCAGGGAGCCAAATTGCTATCCTGGTCCCTGCACTGCTTCTGGTTGCTCCTGAAAAAGAACAGTCCGAACACCACTTCGTGCTGTCAGGGCGGTTTGGCCCGGAACAGAGTACAAGAGCGGTGGAATTTACAGGAAGGTATCTCCACCAGATCTGAACATGGTTTCTCGAGCTGTGCAGAATTATGGTATCGAGAGGTGTGGGTGACGGTTCGGATTTTGTGAACGGTGCTTAACTCCAGGACTCCCTCATGCACGACATGGGCTCGCCCCTGCCTCGCCCATTTTTTTTTGTTTTTTTAGCAGGGAGCCAAATTGCAATATCCTGGTCCCTGCACTGCTTCTGGTTGCATTTGCTGTTGGTAGACTGCTCTCTGTTGCTCCTGAAAAGAACAGTCCGAACACCACTTCTTGCTGTCAGAGCGGTTTGGCCCGGAACAGAGTGCAAGAGCGGTGGAATTTACAGGAAGTTATCTCCACCAGATCTGAACATGGTTTCTCGAGCTGTGCAGAATTATGGTATCGAGAGGTGTGGGTGACGGTTCGGATTTTGTGAACGGTGCTTAACTCCAGGACTCCCTCATGCACGACATGGGCTCGCCCCTGCCTCGCCCATTTTCTTTTTTGCTCTTTTAGCAGGGAGCCAAATTGCAATATCCTGGTCCCTGCACTGCTTCTGGTTGCATTTGCTGTTGGTAGACAAAAGAACAGTCAGAACACCACTTCTTGTGTCAGAGGTTGGCCCGGAACATTGTATGTGCAAGGAGCCTTGCACAGATAGGCTCTTCGAGCCAAGCTTGTGTGAAGAAAGCAATTGTAGTGATGTGTATCTGTGTGTGCTCAGTCATGCAATGTGTGTGCTTTTGCAGCAAGCCTTGTGCAGTTGATCAGTGCATTCAAGCGTTTGTGCTGCTCGTGCTCCTTGCTTGCCTGCCTGTCCTTCTACCTGCCTGCTCTGCGTGCTTGCCGCTGCTGTCTGCCTGCCTTCTGTCTGTCTGTCTGTCTGCCTGCTGCCTGCCCTCTGCCTTAAGTGTTGCCTGCCTGCCTGTGCCTGCCTGGCCTGCCTGTGCCTGCCTGTGCCTGTGCGCCTGCCTGCGTGCCTGCCCGCCCCTGCCTGCCTGTGCCTGCCTGCCTGTGCCTGCCTGTACCTGCTTGTGCCTGCCTGGCCTGGTGCCTTTCTGCCTGCCTGTGCCTGTGTGTGTGCCTCTGCCTGCCTGCCTGCCTGCCTCCCTCCCTGCCCTGTGCCCTGTGCCCTGTGTTCTGTGTCCTGTGCCCTGTGCCCTGTGCCCTGTACCCCGTGCCCTGTGCCCTGTGCCTTGTGCCCCCTGCCCTGCCCTGCCCTGCCCCCTGCCCTGCCCCCTGCCCTGCCCTGCCCTGCCCTGCCTGCCCTCCCTCTGCCCTGCCCTGCCCTGCCCTGCCCTGCCCTGCCCGCCCTGCCCTGCCCTGCCCTGCCCTGCCCTGCCCTGCCCTGCCCTGCCCTGCCCTGCCCTGCCTGCCTGCCTGCTGCCTGTTTGCCGCCTATTGCAGCAGGGCCATGCTTGTGTGATGTAAGCCTGTGTGCAGCTTGAGTGCCTTGAGACAGCCCTGTGTGCTACTGGACGAGCAAGCCTTGTGTTGTGTGTGTGTGTGTGTGTGTGTGTGTGTGTGTGTGTGTGTGTGTGTGTGTGTGTGTGTGTGTGTGTGTGTGTGTGTGTGTGTGTGTGTGTGTGTGTGTGTGTGTGTGTGTGTGTGTGTGTGTGTGTGTGTGTGTGTGTGTTTGTGTGTGTGTGTGTGTGTGTGTGTGTGTGTGTGTGTGTGTGTGTGTGTGTGTGTGTGTGTGTGTGTGTGTGTGTGTGTGTGTGTGTGTGTGTGTGTGTGTGTGTGTGTGTGTGTGTGTGTGTGTGTGTGTGTGTGTGTGTGGTGGTGTGTGTGTGTGTGTGTGTGTGTGTGTGTGTGTGTGTGTGTGTGTGTGTGTGTGTGTGTGTGTGTGTGTGTGTGTGTGTGTGTGTGTGTGTGTGTGTGTGTGTGTGTGTGTGTGTGTGTGTGTGTCTGTGTGCGACTGCCTTGAGATGTGCTGAGGGCTTGGTGCGACATGATGTGCATTTGCATGCTCTTGCTCTTCTGTCCATTTGCCTTTGCAGAGAAGTGCAGCTGCAGCAGGCGAGGTTTAAGTAAATTCAAGATTTGGAACTCCAGCTGCTTTTCTGGGCAGGCGAGGGGGTTTAAGCAAATTGAAGATGTGGCTCCAGTTGCATGTCTGAGCAGCTTGGGCAGGCGAGGAGGTTTAAGTAAATTGAAGATTTGGCCTCCAACTGGCAAGGAAAGGTGGTGCGAAATGTCCATTTGCCTTTGCAGAGAAGATGTGCAGCTGCAGCAGGCGAGGTTTAAGTAAATTGAAGATTTGGGCCTCCAGTTGCTTGTTTGGGCAAGCAGGCCAGGAGGTTTAAGTAAATTGAAGATTTGGACCTTAAGATTTGGGCTTCCAGTTGCCTTTTTGGGTGAGGCGAGGAGGCTTACGTAAGTTGAAGATCGGGGCCTCCCAGCTGCCTTTCTGTGAGATGGTGTCTTGCCTTGGGCAGGCAAGAAGGTTTAAGTAAATTGAAGGTTGGGGCTTCCCAGCTGCCTTTCTGGGAGATGGTGTCTCGCCTTGGGCAGGCAAGAAGGTTTAAGTAAATTGAAGGTTGGGGCCTCCCAACTGCCTTTCTCTGAGATGTGTGTGTGTGTGTGTGTGTGTGCGGTGCAGCAATTGCCAAAAAGACAGCCAGGGGTTGACTTGACTGCCCCCTGCCCCCTCCCCCTCCCCCTCCTGCCCCCTGCCCTGGCCTGCCACTGCCTTGCCCTGCCCCTCTATGTCTCCTGCTGTCCCTGTCCCTGCCAATCTGCCTCTGCCCCTGCCCCTCCTCCCTGCCCTGTTTTGGACCCCTCCCTGCCCCCTGCCTGCCCTGTCCCTGTCTCTCTGCCCCTGGCCCCTGCCTGCCCCCTGCCCCCTGCCCCTGCCCCTCCTTCCCTGCCTGGCCTGTCCCTGTCCCTGCCCCTGAGCCCTGCCCCCTGCCCCTGCCCCTGCCCCTGCCCCCTGCCCCTGCCCCTGCCTGTCATGAGCTACGTGGAAGTGTGTGTGTGTGTGTGTGTGTGTGTGTGTGTGTGTGTGTGTGTGTGTGTGTGTGCATGTGCATGTGCAATTGGAAGCAGTGTCTGTGCCAGCGAATGCTTTCAATGCCTTGAACCAGCCTTGGGTGCACTGTGCGGACGACGAATTGGCAGCAAGTGCGACAGCAACGACGACGACGAGATGATTGGTGTGCTCGTGTTTGCATGTGCATGAGTAGACATATAAAGAAGACGAGTGGTAATGCTTGTGCGAGAGTTTTCGGGTTTAGGGCCTAAGCCCAACAACCAGACTGTGTGTGTGTGTGTGTGGAGCCAGGTTTAAAGGGCCTGAAAACCTAGAAAACTCATGGTTTTGTAGGATTCCAGTTCGAGGCTTTTCAGCTTGCCTGTGGAATGCAGCCTGGCTAGTGCCAGGTTTAAAGGGCCTGAAAGCCTAGAAAACTCATGGTTTTTGTAGGATTCCAGTTCTAGGCTCTGGAGCTTGCCTGTGGGAGCAGGCTGGCTGGAGCCAGGTTTAAAGGGCTTGAAAGCCTAGAAAACACATGGTTTTGGTAAGATTCCAGTTCTAGGCTTTGAAGCTTGCCTGTGGAATGCAAC